AGACTCTACGACAGACGCAACTTACCCGACACTGAACGCGCATAAGTGGAAGATGAGATGGGGACATTGAGGAAACCGGGCCTATGACTCCCCATGCAATGAATTCGTTCGAATTGTGCCGGACTGAGAAAGTCCAAAGGATCCTGGTAGATATGATCTTCCGTGTCTGTGCTAACTCCCAGTAACTGATGGTTACTCGGATGATGTGGTGGTACCACATCAACACCAGCCGACTCGGATATTGTGCTGCCTTTCGTCTGTGAAGTGAGTAGATCCAGATCCATATAAATAGATTCCACATCGTCCGTGGGTCGTGTGGAATCAGTAGGGATAGAACCAGAGTTCTTTGTCAACCTAGCGCACAACGGACTGGGCAGAGATTGCACACACGGAATATCTCTGGACAATTCATCGGCCAAGATTTTGTTGTTCTCTACAACCACTGTGGGTCTTGAAACACTGTCACCGAGACACGTTGTAGACTCTCCGAATGAAAACGGTATTGTAGAGAGAGCTAAATTATCGAGGTTGCTTGTCCGTTTCGGCTGTAAGGGAGAACAATTTGTTAAAAGGAAAAATATTAACAAATAAATTAAAGAAAACAGTACACAGGTTCATCACACAGAAAATATAAGATGTGGATCAGGAATAGTAACACTACTACAAACACTACTTTATTTTCAGTAAGACACGTTAACTTCGAATATTTGGTCTGATTCAGATAGATTCGTGTAACTAAAACCGACCACTTATAGAAGGAAGAAACTGTCCAGAATCGTACTCTATTCTATTCAGCTCATCGGCGTACAGAACATTATTCACAAGCAAGGTTTTTTAGAAAATCATTGGCATTTATCACAGGATGTGCTCAAACAACTTGTTTTATTCCGTCATGATCAGTCAATGAAGCAAAAGGAAAGGTAAATAAGCAATGAATCACAAGGTCGAGCACTACAGATACGTATGAATAATTGACCCTTGCATATTACACACCATGGGGAGAGGTCGAACGCTTCTGGGGGTTCACTCCCTCCACATGAGGGAGCAGCGTCTCGTCGGGGACCATGGAAAAGTTGGTATTACAATTTTATCAACGAATATTTATTTTCAGGTAAACAGTAATCAGTGGTAGTTGGGTAGTAGGAATGAACTCCATTTTATACAAAAGTTAAATGGAGACGCACTCGGAATTCTGTCATCGGGACTCTGGTATTCAAAGGAAAAATGAAATTTCGGTCATTTACACGATGGCATAACTGTGCAGCCGTAATTGGCCCAGTTCCTTGTTACAGTTAGAAAACTATCGCTGTGTATTCCACTATTCTCGCTGGACCTCATTTTATGGTTTAATTAATTGAGTGGTGTTTGGTGAATTTGATTAGCTATCTTTCGGATTTTATCTTCACGCGCAATTCATAGTCCATTCGGTTCGTTTGAGGAGTACCATACTGGCGCTTCGACTTCATCACAAATTATTAGCAGTGTGCATCCACCACCTCGCAGAGGTTTGAACCCCAAACCCGTGACGTGAAAGACATGTAGTACCACCTTCTAGTCAGTTGAAAACGGGGCTGATGTGAGTTACCTTTCTTCAGATGTCACCATCAAAGATAGTCAGTAAGTTTTGTTCCCCGGCAGCAATGAACATACATAAGCAAAACGTAAATGAATCATGTATAAAACAAACATGCACAAAGGAAATTAACTGACGCTGCGGCGAGGACTTTATGTGTAAGTGTGTGTTATGTTAGACTATGCCGCCAAAATTCATGAAGGCAAAGAAGGTTGAAAAATTCTATGCTAATATGATGACACCGTGTAATTTTTGGGACAAATGGGACAGTAGGAAAAGATCTAAGAAGGCTTTGGAAGATGAGGTGTGATTTCTTTATAGTATTTCATTTTAACACGTAACCAATTACAGAGAACTGGCCAATGTGCAACAATATATTAACTGAAACTGTGGGCATGCTACGTCCCGGTTACCCTGGTCGAGGAAGGAAGATAACTTCGGGGTCCCTACCCGAATCCTTTGGCTAGAAAGCCAGACTTGCAAGACAACATGACGGAGCCCAGACTCCGCAGTTCATTGGGGGCCGGTGTCCAGTTCATCGGATCATACGCCCTTTGGACGAGGTCAAACATCCAGGGTGCCCAATACACCTCGATGCCCATCGAGCCGGTGACCACTGCAGCAACCAGGAAGTCTTGTGTATGGTTCGTAGGTATCTTCTTGTTTAGAATCAGGGGTTTTAGCTAATTCCCTTAGGTGAACTGCAAATGTTTCAACAACCCGGCTATAGCTCCGGATATAAGATTTTCGTCCTCAATTCGGTGGGAAAATACCTACGCCACGGGAAGACAGAGCAAAGGCTATTTGAGACGCTCGGTCACATTAGAGCACTCAGTTAGGTGTAAGGGGATGGTGACCTGTCACAATCTCGAACACCCACCCCGACCATACTCAGGCTTTATATTAGTCTCACAAAAACAAACGGAATGGTGGTCATTGATGTTAGAATATTGTGAACTGATAACAATGTTTCAAAAACATAACTTACGGTATCACATATAGATTCACCGGTATCAGCTCCTTTGGGATCCAAACCTAGGGTTAGANTAGACGAGAAGGAATATTGCATTAATTTGTGGATTCATGTATAAAGAACGAATAAGAGTTGAGTATCTCCGAAGAGGTAACATCAGAAAAATGATGCAGTCGGATGGAAGGAAAGCTGTGTAAAGGCAGACATATACCATGTGTTTATGATTTATGGCGTGACGGCACTTTCCTAATCGCACCACTCAGCTGTTTCACATCTACATACATGGTATTCTGCTATTTTTTTCTTTTCTTCAGTTCCGTATATGACATGACAAAACGCTAACATACTTAATATCTGTACGAACTGAAACGATGCTGCACTGCATTGGGCATATTGATGAACCAACAAACAAAAAATGGGTAAATGTAACACCCTTGAGCAGAAGAGGGTTGTCATATAGTACTGAGAGTTTGTGAGTGGTTATGAAGACCAACAACCCCTTACAGTGGAAATGGCATACCGTTCTGATGGGTCGATTGCAACAGTACGCCCTGTGAAAGCACAGCTGTTTAATGGATAGGGGAAAGAGTATTTTCTAAATGGGCATAGAAGCTTTAGGTTACGGTATACTTAGCGGGTTTTCTTTGGCAACCTTGATCGCAGTCTGCAACTACAAAGTGTCACCCACAAGGCAGTGGAGCGTAGGGATGTGATCGAAGCACCTGTGTGGGAGCTTCAACAGCTCTGTCACTCAAGACTTTTGGGTTTCAGTATAGTGTGTTGTTCGCCAATACGGTGTTTACAACACACGTCCTAACTGAATTAAGCGTCTGTAACACGAAGACTGACCATTTATTATTTCCCAGATCAAAAAAATGTGGAAAATGACCATGTTGACGAATGGAACAAGATGTTGTTTGTCTTCTGTAAAGACTCGGTTTCTCATAAGACGATTACATTAAAAGCAATGACAAAAACATGCACTACACACATACATAATATATTAAACAAGAAGCATTAAAAAGCCAGAAGAGGACGAGAAATTCTTTGCGATTGACCTGTCAACAAATCGCGAACGTTAAGGCTTTGATGTGAATTGTATTCAACCGGAAAAATCAACGTAATAATGACGAACGTTTTGATGCCATCTGACAATCATTTATCAAATCAGCATCACTCCAATAAACAGCTCACATCATAGAGAAATTGGCGTAGAAAAGAAAGAGAAAAACATACGAATCACAACATGCAATTGGGACTATTAATGGGAAAAGCTACAACGAGATACGACCACATTAGTATGCGCACACTTTCGTTTCGGTACTATTTTGCCATTCACGCAGATCATCAGTGTAGAAGGTAGACATGCATGTGCAGCAAGATGACAATGAATACTTTGTATAAACCGATGTTCTCGAGTCATTTATTCACATCCACGTTATTGGAGTATTACCCGTAGTACCCGGCTCTGTTACTGTTCTTCAACAAATAAAGAGCTCAATCAGATCGCATAAAAGTGAAGTAAAGTAAAGTAAAGTTGAATAACGCTACGGATGAACGTAAGACCCCAACTAGGTGGAACGGTTAAGATAAAATTTGACAGGAAGATGCAATGGTTGGTCTGAAGAACTGCTGGAAACACAGTATTGCTGACTGATTCATTTATTGTATCTCTAACCAATCTAAACGACATTCGTTCCATTACACTAACTTAGGAACAGTTGTTATTCGTAGTCCAAAACTTAACTCATACAGCTCTTCATCAGATTAAGAAGCGCTATGAACATGTCGCAACATCGACCGAAAAGAAAAACAGTTTATTCCTCCATTTAGTAGGCTTTATGATCGGTGTACTTTTGGCCCCAGGGTCATTTTTTATTACACACTTTCGTGTGATGAACAGCAGACGGGGAAAGCCCCATATTCACGAGGACCTACTGTTCAGTGATGGAAACCAGTAACCTAAGCCCCGGGACTTGCAGTGGCGAACCACGCAAGGCCCCGCTAGGTTAGGCGTGGTATTGAACCGGGCGACAGCAAAGCTGCCTATCACCGAAGTTAGG